TGGAATCGAAGTGGCAGGATTTCAGTTCCCTCCCTCTCCCGCGCCCAAAGTAATGCCTGAAATGCTAGCAACGGCAATTTGAAATTTGAGAGTTACTGTTACAAGCTGACATTCTTTTTACATGACTGCCCAGCGGCGTTTTGCAGTGCAAGATAATTTATTCGCGGGTGTTTTTATCAGCGAATGAGTAAATAAATTAGTTTTTTTTTCTTTCGATCTGAACGCATAACATGGCAGCACCCTTTGCTGCATTATCAGTTGTATATGTATAACATATGCATAACAGGCTATTATTCTTTTTTCTTGTCGAAAATATCAACTGTGGAAGAATGACCTCTTAAAGATGGATATTTTAGTGAGAGGGTCTATTTTTTGTTCCCTAATCCCTCTTTGGACCGTGGCTAAATTTATTTCTACATCTGCTTTAATTACTTTCCAAACTGTAGCCTTGTAAAGCATTACAGTTCTCAAACCTAGCTTCTCCCTCCCACTCCCAATAGAAAGCTCTTTTCTTTGCCTGTGCAAGCACAGTTAAAATTTCATCTTGTCAGAAACCTCTGATTTTCATCCGCAGTTCACTCCTTCAAAAAATTATCTTCTGTTTTCTTTCCTGTAATTTATCTTACCTTTTTTTTTCTTCTCTCCTAGTTCTCCTAGGAGTTTTCTACCATCTGTAGCAATGTGTACATAGTGATTCATCTTTAGAGAGTAGAAAAAGCATCAGCTGTAGGTATAGCTATCTTTCTTGGCAATGAGAAAACCCGTGTGAGAGGAATGTGAGTGAAAACAGGTAAAAACCCTGTTCTCCTTATGCATATGAGTAGTTCCATTAATTCAATGGGATTACTTGTCTGGGTAGAACAAGCAGGATTGGAACTTACAGGCTATAGTAAATGAATCCAGTTAGCCTCATAATTTAATATACTGGAGACTCGATTTCTATGTTTTATCAATGTTTTTAGTTCAGAAGAAATAAAGTATTTGAATAGTTTCCTTATTTGTTAAAAATGGGTGGTTATCTCCTTAAGCTGCATGATGCAATGCTAGTCATAACAACACAGCATGGTTTTGCCTTTTTTTTGCTTTTCTTTCTTTTTTTTTTAACTTTTTTTTCCTCCTCAGTCTGCTGGTTTGGAGTTGCTCTTTAAAGTTACTAATCAGCTAGCACTGAAGGAGACTACAGAAGTCAGAGGAGCAGGGCTTGCTTATCTGTGTCGATGAACTGGTACTCCATGTGAGTGTTGGCACAGGAAGCTGATCCTCTGTAGCACGGTGATTTCAACAGGAGCTGACAGTGCCCAGGGTTTGTCTATAGCAAGTGCTCGGTGCATGGTGTGACTGGCTCCAACGGAGCCCTTTTACAAACACAGCTTTAATATTTTTCTCACACGGCTTTGTGCCTAATACTGCTTTGTTTTTTTAGGTTACCGTCCTATTCCAACAGACCCTTACGTGGGAGGGAGTTCACCCTTGCCACCCCCTGTAAGTGACAGGATGAGAAAGAGACGGGCTTTTGCTGATAAAGAGCTGGAGAACATTATGCTAGAGAGAGAGTATAAAGAGAGAGAGAGGATGGAAGCTACTCAAGCAGCTGCCCTTTTTCTCCCTAACCGCATGGTGCATGGAGCTGAATACAACTCGTACAAAACAGCTTTCAACACTGCTCAAGCTGAGACTCCAAACAAGGAGTTTTGCAATTTTTTACCTACCTGCCTTGATCTAACTATGCAATATTCAGGACCCAGCAACATGGAACTAATTTCTTCAAATGTCAGTGTAGCTACTACCTACAGGCAGTATCCCCTGCCTTCTAGGTTCTTAGTGTGGCCAAAATGTGGTCCCATTAGCGATGCTCTCCTCTACCAGCAGTGCCTGTTAAATGCTACTACTGTCCAAACTCTCAAACCAGGGGTGGTGTGGGATGCCAAGGTCTCACAAAGTCAGGATTGTCCAAACACCGAGCACAACGTCATGTCTCCAAAACTGGAAAACTCACTCATTCTGACACACACGCAAGATATTCAGCAGTCATGTAATGAAATGCTGTGCCTTTCTCAGGAAGCTCGTGAGAGGTCAGCTTTTTCTCCTCCAAAAAGAGCTTTCCTTCAGATTTCTGATAAGGATTCTCTGGCTCCTCAGGAACAAGTATTAAGCAAGATCAGCAAAGACAGTACCAAGCCCCCTCCACCACTCAAATATAGTAAGTTTCAGTCGCTTTTTCAGCAAACATTTCCTGATAGATCAGGAGCAGAGGTGAGACCTTCCTTTGTGAAAGAGACTTTTGAAGATGCTTCTAAGAAATACAGAGAGTGTGCCATTAAAGAGAACCAAAAATACAAGATTACAGTAGACAAATGTGCAAAAAACTTATTTGGGGCCAACCAGGCCACAACAAAATATTCAACAACTGAGCCACTGTTGTTTTCAGTTGAATCCATCCTTAAATAACTTCTTCTGCAGTTGCTAATGTCTCTCAATGAATAAACTATAACTTTGGTGTAGAGAGTTTGTATGCTTTGCCCTCTGCAGAATTGCTACTGTCTACTATATCTCTTAAAAAATTTGTAAAGAGGAGTTTCTGCTGTAAATGGTAATTATTTCTTTTATCTTAAAATGCTGTAAATAAATACGCATGTTTTCTCTTCTGAAAAAAGAAATTAAGATTTTAGAATTGAAACTACATGTACAGAGTGTAAAGTGGTGTTATTTTAAGCAGCACTTCAAACTATTCAATAAAATGAGTTTACCTACAGTCATAGACTTATTCCCTGATCTCTGTTTTGTGCCTAGTAACTCACAGGCAATCATACCCTACTTTAATACTATACTTCTTCTTTACTTATTCTTTTGTCTACTATTATCAATATACTTACTGGTTATCTTGGTAGAGTAAGTGGTCATTTCTGCTTTGAATCTCCAGTAACTAAGAGAAAAGGTAATAACTGTGCATGTAGGCTAGTGTGAACTCACAAGACTTTTTTTTATTATCTTAAGTGAGGTTTGGATCAGATTCCAAATGCCATTCTTATTTTGAAGGGGGAGTGCATGCTTGTGTAAAAGATGGATTTAGTTCACACCTCTCTATAAAAACATTTCTTCCTAAAGCAGAAGAGTTATTAGATTGGATTTGAGGAGAATAGCTTTTGGACAAAACATCAGCATTTTTTAAAATGCAGTTTTTGAATAAAAAAATGTTTTGTTTAGTTTTGTTTTTTTTTTTTTATGTTCCGCTGACTTTACTCTGGATTTCCACCCCCTAGAATATTTCCTTTCTGAAAATATTTCACATTAGACCAGTAAGAGTCTGAGATTCTTGTGTTGTGTTAATTGAAATCACCTTTAGGCTGTAAAAATGAGGCACAGAATCATCATTGCTAATGAGAAATCAAGTAACGATTTATCAGTTTTGCAATTCTATGCCCTTTTGCAAGGATAGCAGAAACAAAGAAGATTAACCAGTAGAATTTACCTGGGAATCTGAAATGCCCTCAAAGTTGTAGAAAAAGTTGTTACCAGCTTTGATTTTGGCTGAGTTTTGTAAGTTTTTCCTCTATGTTACTTTTAGCTCATCTAGTGCTAACCAGTAACCCCTTGGTTAAATTCCTTCCTTAGCATTTTTATCCTGCAGACTGTGCTCAGACAGTTGAAAGGAGCAGTCATTTGTTCATAATTTTTATTATTTTCTGAGGCAAATTTCTGTTTTGCATTTGTGAGCAGAACATTCTGATTTTATCATGTTGCTACACTGGTTAAATGCTTATTTTTCTATGAATAAATCTAAGCCTGTGGATTTATGATCCTGTAAGAATCTCTGATAGTGTTCAGCGTTTCTGCTAGAAGTGGTGATGCTGAATAGCAGGACTCTTCTCATGGGTGGAAGGAGTGCTTTTCTAAGCCACTTTTTAAAAGCAAAAAACACATTGGAGAAAACACATTTTACATAAGTGTAAGTTTTAATGAAACACATATTGCAAATCACATAAAAATCTTATGTTAGGAATATAAACAAATTTGTTGTAATTTAAAAGAATCTTGGGGATTAACTAAAGTTTCACTTTTCAAAAGAATTTATACTTACTAGATTTTGCCTAGCTGAAAATACATTTCAAACACAGTGACATGCTTTTCGTTTTTTCAAACTCTGTCCTTTACCCAGTTGCCATTAGAGGGAGTTTTAACTTAGCTGAGAGCTGAATCTGCTTGTTAATCAGTTAAGCAGCCAGACCAAGCTAAGCAGCTTTTACTTGAAGTAAATAGAGTGAAATTCTTCACTTTTCCTATTTGTTTGCTTTCAGTACAACTTCCTTCTTTGGCTTAGTTGAACATTAAATGCTATCAAGGGGTTTTAATTTAAGCAGGGTTTCCTTTGTTATTAAAATATTATTTGTTTTGTTTTTCAAGCTACTGGCATAAACTAGGAAGACAGATGAAAGGGAGTTCAGCAATCTATGTAGTGAACTAATATTGGATACTGGAATTAGTACTGCATATATATTTTTTTGCCTGACAATGTGTGCATTTAACATTGCTCAATTTCACATCTGAAATTTTTTTCCAGGAATTCACTTGTCTTTATTTAGCTCTTAAAAAAAGACCAGAAAACCAAAACAAAGTGGTACCTCTCAACCTTTTAAAGAACCAGTTGAACTGAACAAATTTAAACTCTGAAGATATACCAAGCACTAATATATATATATATACACATATATATACACATACACATGCACACACTTAGATACATAATATATTTATGTTGTAGTTGGTTTTGTTGAAATCCCAGTCATCAGAAGAGGACTGACATTTCTTTTACTATTTGAAAAAATGTGACCCTTAAGGTGAAACTTGAACAAATTTTTTGCTTTGCTTAATGAATTAGTCTCACTGGAGTAAGCATTTGGCCACCCTGTCTTGCTGTCACTTGCTCATGTCTTGCTTCAGTTCCATTAGCTATTTCTCTCTGTACTTAGTTTCCTTTTATTTCATAGACCCCGGACCTTACCTCTCATATATCTTGAAAGCTTGTTGCACCCAGATCACATTTTCCTTTCCTTTGTTGAAAATGTTAATCAAATCTATTGTTCAAGAAGAGGATGATTAGTTGCTTGGGCAAGATAGCATAAGCAGAGATAGCGTGTGATTTTCCTCACACATCTTTGCAGTGGAAGTATAGCACTCTTGCCTTTTTCAGTCATGTGCCTCTGTAGAGCAGAAGTAGCCACTTGACCATGTGTGCTCTCCATATACATGCCAAGACAAAAGTTTTTATAGGTGTGCAGAGGAGTATAAGTGCACAGAACTAGAGGAACTGAGAATTAATAGTGCCCCAGGCTTACTCTAGGCTCCTGGCTTATTGCCTGGCCTGGTAGTAAGGAGTGGGCAGTGGTGGGTTCACCTGGAGAAGGGATAGGTTATTAACAGCTGCTGCAGTGACAGTGCTTCACCCTCATGTGGCACAGGAGAATTGAGATAGGAGCTGTGGTGGGTAGGGAGAGAGCCTTTGCTCAATAGGTGTGGGTTGGTTGCTGGCTTTCTCTCAGGTGCTGGCTTTCCAAAGGTGACTGCATCAGCACTTCTGGCTTGCCACCAAGCCTGCCTTAAAAACTGTCATTTGTCTTTGGTGTCTTTGAATCAGTATATTGAGCTGCTAGGCTTGAGGTAGATCAAGGCAGAGAGTTTGGTGAAACAGCTGGATAATTGGACATGCGTGTGTGGGCAGGTGGAAACCAGTGGCAGGAATCTAAGTGTAAATGGGAAGACAGGAAATGGTGTTTTATGGGAGGAAGCATCCCATAATAATGAAAACATGCAAACTGGAAAAAAAATCAAATAATTCAACATTGCCAGTTTCCTCTGTTCCTGTTTTTTTCACAGCACCAGCTCTTTGTGAACAAGCTACAATGATTTTTTCTATCCAGAAGCAGGTCAGAGGTCAAGTTCCTGGGCTGCAGCTGTCCCTTTTGTTGTGATTTGGAATTGGTATCCCAGAGCCAGTGAGTCCTGCTCTTACTGTGACCCATTGCCTGCAGTACAGGGGAGTTATGGTGCTGCTGCATAGCCACAAACTGTGGGTAGGAGTCTACCCCTCACCCTGAACTCGGCAGTTCAAACTTTGAATGGATGTAAGGGCATTTGGGTCTCTGGAATGAACTAACCTAACTGCCTAACCTGTGTGTTACCACAGGACACACTGCTGTGTCTAGGTTTTGCTGACAAATAAGACCTTCCACAGTGACCAACAGAAAAGAAAGGATTAATTCTTCATATTCAGTCATGTTGAGATATTATGCTGGTAGAACTGAAAGACTGAGCAACTTCATTGGAAAAAGCCAGTGACCCTTTTCCTAATTACTGTAAAAAATAATTACAGCTGAAATCTACCCAGGGAAAAGTGAAAACCTGCACAGTCAAGCCTACTGATACGTACACCAGCTGGAGCCTACTAAGATATGCAATTATCCTTGAAAGATGGAGTCTAGGCATAAATTTAGAAGAGATAAAAAGGTTTCAGGTATGCCAGCTTTCAGAGTCACACTGTCTGTCTGACAGCCTCTGCATCTACATCTCACTGTAGATGGCCAAATCTGAGCTTAAAACAGTGGCTAGACTTTTTACTTATTCCTTGGCAACCCAGTTGAGCAAGAAACAGGTTAGTTGAACCAGTACTGTGAGTGATACACAGTATTAATATTTGTGTGTCAAGAGTTAATAGTGGCATCCATTACACCCTACCTGGTTTTCATCTACCTATTTTTTTTTTCTTTACACAAAGCATCTCTTACATGAGGTGGCCATGACCAGACTCCACTTTTTTAAGTCAGACAGAAAACATGGGTGAACTGTCCCCCTTCTGAAATGACTTGCTTCTGGGTCACAAGAAACACATTGGGTCCTCTGTGGAAAGATGTTGTAAGTAGTCATAGAACTGTTGGATCATAGATTTAGAAAGACCAGATTTATGTATACAGAGAAAAGATAAAAGAAGAGGAGATTAGAGAAGAGAAGAGAAGAGAAGAGAAGAGAAGAGAAGAGGAGAGAGAAGAGAGAAAAAAAAAAAGAATAGTTGTGAAATTCTGGAAGCATAACAACAGCCATACTGCAAACCTATGCAAAACTGAGATTAAGGTGATGCTAAAACTTCTTTTCAGGCTCAAGATGACGTAGTTACACAGAGCATGACTAAAAAGCTTTATGTTAGGAAAGGCTTAGTTCCCTCAGCTTCAAATGTAATGTCCACTGCATCACTCACCATGTCCTCCCCATGTAACTCTTTCATAAATGGGCTGAGAAAACAGGAATCTCATTATCACAGCTTAAAATGATTTCTGTTCTGACTCTGGCAAACCGGTCTAGGATTTGAGTTCAGAAACAAACTGCTTCATACCAAAATTGTTTTGCCACTAATGCCTCTAGGATGTACCTGGAGGGGGCTGGTAGCCTGGTAACTTTGG